AGCATGTGTTACTAGCTATGAAATTACAGCCACGGAGTCTACAAAATTTATAACGATATTTTTGGATGAAATATAGCATCAGCATCTCTCATAATTAAGGGCAAAAATGGAGGGCCTTTGTGCTGAAGATGCTTACAGCGAAAGTCACAGATTTCTCAAATGGCTTTAACTTTGTCAGTGGATGGTCCTTGAGAGGAGAGTTCATCCTTTTTTGCTGGTAATGGAATTTATATAGGTACTCAGTAGACGCGTTGATACTGTAAAGATCTTATTCAGGTGAACAGAGCATTTTTATGGAATAGGCGAAATACGTAACATCTTAAATATTCTATGATTTTCATGTTAATAGTTGGCCAGATTCGGTCAGATATACATGGGGGATTAGTCGGAATATGTTTCTACTGCTTCTTGGAATAATCTTAAATATAAAGATGCTAAAATTAAAATTATCATGATTCATTCATCCACCATTCCAAGTGTTTTCCCTACTGCATTGAGGTCTAAAGGTCTTCTAAGCATTATTTTGCAGTGGGGATATATTGCTACTTCAAATCACATCTTTTTGGTACTTATTTATCACATACACAAAGCTGTATGAAACATTGCACGCTGGTGCTGAGGTAACGAGGATTTTTTTTTATCTATGTACTAAATAGCTACAACTTAACAAGAAAATTATTGTTTATTAAATTAAATAAATATAGTATCAATTCTAATATTTTCGTCTTGTCTATGAACGCTAGAATTGTCTTGGTACCACGACACGAAGGGCAAAAAGCTAATAACGAATGAAACTGTAAATCAATCGATCGCCATCTGCTCAGCCATGAGGCATTAAATCCATTGCAAAATATCGTCTGAGCTAGTATCTCTCAAAGTAGCATTGTTCTGGATAACTGGGCATGAAGGGCTCAAAGGAATTAAGAAGGCGGATGAGCTAGCCCGACAGGGTGCGGCCAATCGCCTGATAGGCCCAAAGCCTTCCAATGGTAAAAGAAATTGCACTAAGAAAAAGGGGCCATAGTGGGGGTCTCATAATAGAACACTGGTGACTAAATCGACATGTGAGACTCTTGGGTCTGACAGAACAGGCCACATGCCATTTCTCCTGAGTACAGTATATACAGGGTGACTTTGAAGTTGAGTCATTAATTTTCAGATAATGATTGTAGAAGGAAGATAAACCAAAATATGTGTATAAAAATAAACAAAATATAAAAAAAAATGTTTACCTTGTTTTATAAAGTATCCTCCCGACAAGTATTTCAGTGCGGACCTGTATTTGATCGTGAGGTCCCCTGTGAGGTCTGAAGTCACCTGATTCACGAGCCCGTTGTACTACATTAACAAAGGCACGAGGGGTTGGTTGCACTCGATTGGGAAACCGATCCGCATAAACATGTGCCATTTTTTATTTCGTTTGAGCCACGCAACAGACACTATTCACACGCGACTGTATGTACGAGTATAACTGAACTGAATAAAATAAACATCGTTCCAAATTCTTTCGCTTTTTTGTTTCCGATGCGATGAACCGATAAGGTGGATTATATCCGTTGTTGCCAAACACGAGTACATGATATTATTGAGACAGGGCGGTACTCAAACTTCCAAAGGGCTATAACTTTGTTACTTTAATTTTACCAGAAAAATGGTAAAGGAAAAAAACATTTCTTTTGATCATATCTACTCACTGTTAAAATAAATGACTCAACTTCGAAAGTCTGTATAGGGCCACAATAGATCCATATGGGTTGCAGTGGCATTACGGCTTAATTGCAGAAAGCTTAAATTGACTTCTTTTCACAATACTCCTGTCTTTCGCTTCTGCATGCATAAGACCATAATTCACAATTGGATCAATTCCTAACAAATATATTATGATCCCATTTACCGCATCCCATTCAAGTGGATTTCGAACATGATGTATTCCCAGAAATCCCGTTTATCCCGTAGCTTCTAGTCTCGTTTTTTAGTTTTGTAAGGGCATGCACTTCCTTCGAGCACAAAACATCCTTAGACGAAGGCCCACAGATCAGCTCCAGAGGGTGCATACAAATCAAGCTGTACGTGGTTAGAATCCGGGATATTCCAGGCAAGGTTGCCAAATGTATGCGGTGTCGATGGCTCTATTTACATAAAGAATCACCACATTTCCATAATATACATAGGAAGCGCTACACGACCGAGGTAGTGTCTGTTTTGTAAACAGCTTCTTCGCGGGGCTTGTTTTAATCCGATCATCTTGTTATTCAGTTGTGAGCTACAGTTCTGATGATTATGATAATGGCTAGAGCGAGAGTCTTTTGTAAATAGTCCGGGATTCTATATACAATGTGTTTGGTCGCGACATACCGATATTTGAGGGGGATATTTTTCAACTATTTTTATCGTCAAATCCACCCCCTACAATGTCATACCTCACCCCCCTTGAAATGGACCCATACCGCTGCGAACGAAATTTGTGCTGACACTGATATGGTCTGCCGCTCAACACGACACACTGTTTTAAGAACAACAATGTGCATAACCAATAATGGAAGACATTTTGAACAACTTCTGTAACAGTAAACATGTCCAAACTCTCTATAAGAAACATTGATTTGTCATTTCTATGCATATAAAGTTTGAAAACAATTTGCATTTTATTATACCCATTTTGACCCATGTTAGATAGCATTTATTGCTTAACGTAGAATACTTAGGATAACAAAAAGCTGTAGAATCAGCACAAAAAATGTACAACTTCACATGTTAGTTTTTGGATGGTGTGCGGAATGCACAAAATAATCAATTTTCTTCCATTTTTTTCTGTTTTTGTCTGTTTTTAAGTATGTTTGACTATTTGTATCCTGTCATCGTTCAAATGACACCAAATTTATCAGCGAGACTCTGTATCCAACAAAATGAGAATTTATTTGAACACTTATTGTAAAGCTAGTTTTAAGTATATCCAACTGTACGTCTTCTTTTTTAAACAAATTTCAATTTCGTTCGTAGAAAAAATTCATTTCTTTTATTTTTGCCTAAATGTTAGCTATGTTGCAATAGAAATATGTATTTATGTAATATTTACCAATTATTAAATTAGATTTTTCGTTGCCATGGCTAATTATTCAACAATCCATTTAAATTCGCAGTACATTTCCTATCATGTGACAAATTTTTTAGTTTGATTTTATTCAAAAATGGCACAATTTATCGATATTCAATAAGAGTACCTTTTTTATGTAGAAAACCCTAAATTTTCAAATTCTAAAATTGAATTTTAAAAATAGAATCACACAAAAATTTTGGGGCTAAAATAACGTGAGTCCGTCCCTGTTACACAGGCTTCCAAACACATTGTCTAAAATATTTTTAAATCCAGCATAAAAAACTGGGCTAGAATACCAAATTTTATGTATTTATCTCAACACGTTTCGGAAATATTAAGGTAAAACGTTTGAAGACCTATGTTTAATAAACTTTTCTTCCTATTTTAAGCTCTAGAAACAGCTGGTAGAATATTGCACACTTTTTCCGGGACACCCTGTATATCTACGACCTTTCGATTAAGGTGATAAGTACATCTAGACGCTATTTCAATTTTGTTGTAACACCTTAGGCCGTCGAAAATCTTGCAAATGAACCATCCGAATTGTATGCAAGCTTGATATGGTGATGGCTGAGTGGAGGTGAGAAATATACAAAATTGCCTCCGGCTACATATTTCGAGGCAATCAGTAAATTACATTTTCAAGCTAAGCCCACCCTAATTGGTAATTGCCAATTTTTTCTGGGTAGTGTAGTATATACCTAAAATTATAAGGTGTTCAACGTAAAAATAAAAAAGATAAATCTCCAGAAAGGCTCAGTCTCACCATTGCTCAAGTTTCAAAAACGCTTGAGAGAGTAGCGTGTAATGTAAAAATTATTCCTCCGAAATTCACTGCATTTTGTCAACCATGCAATGTTTACTTTCACCGGCAAATCAAAAATTTTGTTTAAAATATCCAAAACTGATCATAATTAGTTCTACAAAAACGCGAAATCTCATTTTGTGGCGGTTCCATAAAATAATCAAATACGCATAGTTTGGATAGGAACTTTCTGGCCAATGAGATTTTTTCCAAAATGTAAAAGAAGTGTGGTTTTCGTTTGATAAGTTGAAAAACCTTGTGCATGCTCAAACGCTTCTATTATTTCTTGTAAACGATGCCAGTTGAATGTACTACTCGTATATGCTTTGATTTTATGGCAACTATGATATAATACAGTAAGGTAATTGAAAGAAACGATAACTGAGTTATTCCTCAACGTCAACTGCATTTTATTATTTAAAAAAAATAATTTCGTAATTGCTTACAATTATAATATGTTGACAATTAAATACATTTGTAAAATCAGCTTACAAAAAACCTTACAAGCTGCCTTTTTTGACGTAAAAATTTTCGTAAGCTAGTATTTTTTAAAACTTTGACAAATGGTGAGACTTATACTTTCTCAACAAATTTCTCCCTTACTGTGCACCTTAGAACTTTGGAAATACATGTATATTACACTAGCAAGTCTCTTTCAATACATGGAGCTGCGGCTAAATCGGTGACCCGAAGGGTGTAAGATATCCTTGTAAGTATTCCATATAAGTGCTGGCTTTAAACATGACAAATGTAAGTTGCCAGAGAATTTTGACCAACACCAACATACGTATTTCTTACATAATTCAAATGCCCTAAGCTATATGTATGTTATTACATGCGAATTTTCATCTCTTTAGCATATAATAACGGACATTTCACGACTCATAGGCTTCTGAGTTAAAATGCTGGAAATGATTTGATGTTGCTAACAATTTTTTTAGGGCATTATGGAGCAACTGACGACATCACTGGGTACTCCCTTGCATCTTGTTGGACCTTTTCTCGTGCGTTCGCCAAGTTTACATTGATTAATTTTTATATTTAGCGTATTTTTGTTTATTGCTTCATGTCTAATGACATTATCTTTTTATATTTCAGGTAAGCATTTGGCAGATAAGCTGGCATTAGTGAGTATAATTGTTTTTGAAATTAAGTATAAAGTACAAATGTTCTCTCTAAATCACAATATTTTGCATTTCATTGTATAACCAGATAAACAATACGAAACTACTAGAATTGTACATGATATACTGAGACAACTGACATATATTATAGATATCAGACAGTACCTTAAAAACCCATTATAGCAGACTTCTCTGAACTTTCTTGCTACTTATATCAGTGCAACAATCCTTAAAATTTAATTTTTGTGATTCGTCACAAAAGTAAGGTAACCTTTGTTGTTAGTAAAATTAAAAGATGGCAAAACTATAAAATATGTATACATATTTCTGATTCTAATTGACACCCGATAAAAAATAATAACTAAAAAAATTTTGAAATCCTAAATAGACGTTACGGAGCATAAAAAACGCCGAATGTTTCCCTTGTGCTTGGTTTAAAAATGTTACAGCAGAACAAATATATCGCGACTGGGACTGCAGTAACCAAGTAAAACAATGCAAATGGGTGCTCTATTGCCACTCTCTCAGATGGCTGCAGCACTCTCTTGGTATCAGTTGTGTGCTAATACTACAACGTTTGGACTACTGCAGATTTCTGTCTGGGCTGTTTTCAAAAATGGCATCAAGTAGGGTGACCCTGCATTTCTCTTTCAATGCTATAGTCAAATCATAAATGAATATATTTGACATTCGCCCCTCTGAGAATAAATTATAGTTTGAATAAACTAAAAAATATGCTTCATTAGCAAATGGAACTGAAAAGTAGAAAATATTTTTCAACTACACAAGAGTTTGTGGTATCGTAATAGAAAGTGCAACAATCAATTATGTCTGATTCATTTGTAATAAGATCAATATAAAATTTAATAGATAAACAAAAAATTCAATTGTTTTACAAAAGCTTAACGTACTTGATATTCAATTTTAGTACTATTGTTCCAGTTGATATTAATAAAATTGGAGTTATTATGAAAACATTAAATTTTATTTTTGCAGTTGCTGCTTAAAAAATTTGGGTTATGACAACAAAGTTAATTGCACCCCTCGCTGTTGTGCTATAACTGGATTTTTCGTTAATATCTTAATTTTTATATTGATCTTATTCCAAATTATTTAGTTATACATGATTGTTGGATATTCTATTGCAATAATGTAAACTCGGCTACGCTTGAAAATTGGTTCATCTTTTTAGTTCGATTCGCTATTAAGGCGTGTTTTTAGTTTTTTCAAACTATCATTTATTTTCTGAATTTTTAGTCTCAATATAAAATTACCTATAATCAACGGCTTTGATTTTTGTTATGAAATTTCGTTTTTTTTTAAATTTCCACTTTTTTTCGAAATTTCCAAGTATTCGAATTATTTTATTTTCTTGTATTGACATTGGCCCTCGACCACTGTGCAATTTTTCAAGATGATGAGACTTCTTGGAATTTGTGAAAATTAGGTTGAAATAATACAGGTCAAGCTAATAAAGGCGTATTAAAAAAGTTGGCTACAAACATCTCAACACAATCTGTATATGAACCTGGGGGCCCGCCACTGCGCCCTTTCTCTAGGTTCCATCCATATGACAACTTTGCGATCTAGGAATCTTTCTCGTGCCGTACTGACAGGGCTAACCATCTGACAACGTAGGTATGACTGACCTCACCAGTTGCCAGCCACCCTTCGGTCAGACATCGAAGCCAGGTAAGATACACAGGGTTTGTCCGGAAAGTAATAGGACTCATTTTCTTCCGCCATGACTGTACTTCGCAGGGTGCGCGCACCGACTGGATTCGGTAGAGGGCGTTCCTAGCTAACGAATAAGCGGCTGCTCAGTTGTCTCCGAGCACTTGGAGAGTCATTTTCGGGCGACGTGTTTCTGTGAGTGGTGCAAGCCGAAAATGCAGCGTTCGTTAGAGCAGAGGTACGCGATTAAATTCTGTGTGAAACTCGGTAAATCTGCGACAGAGACGTTTGATATGATCAAGCAGGCTTACCCAGGTGTTGCTTTAGCAAGAAGTGGTGTGTTTCGGTGGCACCAGGCCTTTTTGGAGGGCCGGGAAGAGGTCGCTGATGAAGACCGTGCTGGAAGACAGACCTACGACTTTGACAAACACCGATAATGTGACTCGTGTGCGCAAAGTTTTGAACTCGGACCGTCGACTAAGTATTCGTTTAATTGCCCAGATGTTAAATTTACCAAAATCTGTGGTTCATGACATTGTCACACAGCATTTGAACATGCGCAAGGTATGCGCGAAGATGGTCCCAAAAGTGCTCACTGACGACCAGAAATTGCGGCGAGTGGAAGTGTGCCAAGGAAATGTGAACATGTGTGAAAGTGACCCTCAATTTTTGAATAACGCAATCACAGGTGACGAGACGTGGATCTTTGAGTATGATCCCGAGACAAAGGGGCAATCTTCCGAGTGGCACACGACGGCGTCTCCTCGCACAAAAAAGGGAAGAATGAGAAAATCGAAAGTGAAAACGATGCTCATTGTCTTTTTTGACATCAAAGGCATCGTCCACCATGAATTTGTTCCTCCTGGACAAACCGTCAACGCCAAGTTTTACGTGGAAGTGCTCAGGAGACTCAAACGAAGGGCCAGTCAGGTCCGACAAGATATCGCAGCACCACGACAACGCCCCGGCTCACACCGCCTTTCTTGTGAACAGCTACCTGACCAAGGCCGGCATCCCAACGCTTCCGCAGCCGGCCTACAGCCCAGATGTGGCCCCCGGACTTTTTTTTCTTTCCTCGCCTGAAAAAGCCGATAAAAGGCATGCATTTTGAGACGACAGAGGGGATCCAAGCAGCATGCACCGCGGCTCTCAAGGCTATTCCGGAGAATGCCTTCCGTGACAGCTTCAATGCTTGGAAATCGCGCTGGCAGCGCTGCATCGACGCAGAAGGAGCCTATTTTGAAAGTGTTTAAAGAATTGTAACGATTGGCTCAATAAATTTTTTTAAATCGGCTCAGTCCTATTACTTTCCGGACAAACACTGTACAATACTGCATGTAGATTATATTACATTCGTTGCATTGCGTGGGAAGCGTATATTAAAAATATTTCTTTATCATTCCAAGTTTTAAGGGCAAATCTCTGGCAAATAGTTAAAACGGTCATTTTTGTCGACCTTTTTGCATATTCGTCACAATCAATTAAAATCGCAATCAGTAATGAGGCTAGAATCAAATTCGTCTAGTCTTCTTGGTGAAAAGGCCCCAAGTTGATTTTGTATATTTAGATAAAATTGAATTACGTTCTTTCAAGTATCTATCACAGAAATGTACGGAGAAATCTATGATGTATCAAACGAACAGGCATGTTTCATTTGACAATAGGTGCATAGAAGTTCTGGGGATGGAAGCGAATAAATATGCTAACGCTAAAAAATTGATATCAACTCCCCCGCCCCCTAAATGAACAGAAGCGTCTAAAAAACCGTTAGGGCAATTTTTACTCGTTTTTTTTTAATTAATGAAAATCTAAAATGCTTTTTCATCCTTGACGTAATCTTAATTTCATCAGACTCCAATCAAAACTTTCCAAGTTATAGCAGGGCCAAGGATTAGCGGCCAGACAGGCCAATGACAATGAGGAAGACATGGTTTTCTGTGATGTAAGCGTCATATAACACCCAAAGAAGAAACTCGCTTACAACACTTCCTCGCCGGCTGGCTTCGTAAGTAAAAACGTGCATAAAAATGTCGTCCTGACGGGAGTATATGTATATGTATCTACTAGAGAAATGAGTAAAGTGTGATGCCACTTGCGCTTGCGTTTTCATCCCGTTACAATTTAGGAATAGAAATTGTACACATATTTGAATCTATCACAGTTACTGGTGTCCCAGTATCTGGTTCTTAAGATAAATTAAACTTTAATTCTGTTTCCAGCTTCATGTGACTTCAGTATCCTTGGAAAGATGATGACTAAATGTCCTTTGTTGTTATATATATTTCTCCTGGGATATTAATTATTACTAATTATTTCGGTGTCTCATGCCTTTGCTACCTACAACCCTCTCCAGTTGGTTGGTAAACAATGTAGAGTAATATTCTCCAATTACAGTACTCCCTAGTCGCTAGTAATTTGTTACAATTATCCCTGCCTTATATCCCCAAAAGTTGCGCCGGAAGTTTTCTGGGGTCTCTGAACTCGAATCTTGTCAAGCAGCAGGGAGTATTGTTCGAGTTTTCCGAGCAATCGACTTCGCTATTCACTACACGGATTTTGACAACGTTTTTAGCGGAGCCCTTTTTGTCGCACTCCAATATAACGCAATCAACTGAGATAGAGACCTTTTTACGATCCGAATTCGTAATTAACTAGAATCAACATTAGGATAATCTTTGGTAGGTATCGAGGTTCTCATGAGACAAAATGATTCAATCAAGATTGTCTTGTACCAACATAAATGAATTAGTCGGCATCATTCTATCTGAAGATAGTCAACCGTGTAGACTACTTTCTCATATAGTTGGTTGAATCCTAATTATTGCGGAAAGGAGAATCATAGCTGTAGCAATAGATGACATTTCATTTCACCTCTTATAATTTTGGACGCCGAAATACAGTGTCAGGCTGGCTATTTTCAAGTAGAATAATAATTTATTCACATTAATATACAACATGGTGAATAAATTTTAACCCACAATAGGATATCCTTGTGAGTGCAGAAAAATAAATACATAACTTACAATAACAAAATATGTCTATGCATCTTTAGCATACATGTATAACAGGTTCAACTTGAAAATAATCACTATAATATAGGAATGTGGTTCAAAACCCGGTCAGTTGTAACTTTCATTAATTTTAATTAATTTAACATATTAGAAAAACTAACCGCTAACATCAGAACTGAGTTTCAAATACCTAGCAGACAGACGCAAAACTACCTAACTTGATATTAGATTTCTAATATCTAATGCTTGATGTCAAGTCAGTTCAAGTAGCTTGAAAATCAAGTCAAGTCGTGAATCCCTAATCATAACCTGCCATACA